TATGTTAAATCATAGTAGATATTTCAGTGCAAGATACAGCAATGCCTTACATACGGTTATATTCACTAACTTTATGTCTGTCTTTATGTCTTTTAAGACATTATTTTAGAGACTACTTATTCTGAAACGTTTTTATTTATCCTGTCAGTGTCAGATACTTTTGGCTACCTTTTCAGATGCTCTGAACATCAGTAGCTCCTGCTTGACTGAGGTGGGACGCTTGGATGTTTAAAAGTTATGAGAGAGAAATCTCAGGCAACATAAACTCCAGTAATTCTCCCCTCTCCCTCACAGGCGCAAACCCCTATTAAGGTAAAGTTAAAAACCCATAAAACCTCATAGCAAGACAAGGTGTCACATTTTCCATGACTCCTAGAGAAAAACTCCAATATGAGCACTCCTGTTCCTCTCTCTCGTGTAGCTAAGCAGACAGAATTAAGAGTTCACTTCCCTAATAGAAAGGACTTCCCAGGAACTTAGTGAGGATAATTTCAAAACGATGGAAGTAAGAGATGCCTGCAGGCTGACTTTATTTCTTTACAGCGTAAAAACTATATTTGTCCTTGTATAGGAAGGGAATGGCCATACTGGAAACAAAACCAAATGGTTTTATTTTAATTTGCCTACCATTTCAGCCACTAATGATACAGCCTTAAACGCCTGGTCAGTAGGATATCATTAATACAGAATTCTCTATCAAAATGAATTTGATTTTAGCAGGCAAGGTAACATAAGGAACAAAGGGATCTCTTAAGAAATCTTGTATTTTTCCTTTAAGACAAAGATAACTTGCTACTTTTCCGTTCAAGATCAAAGAAGGGAAATAATACAAGGAGACAAAGACAGAAGAAAGAGAGACAGAGCATTTGAAGCTTCAATTTTCCCTAACACTTTTTCTTTTAGATCAGTACAATCACTAGATTCACCCTATAGAGAAAGAACATTAAAAAAGGAGGTTGTATATGGCCAAAAAGAACCCTGGGCAACTTTGCTGATGTGTTAAAGCTCCTGTATTTTACAATTCTTATTTCAGAAGTAAAATGATAAACAAAAACAAAGCACTTTTAATCTTCAAAGCAATGCATGATCAATAACAACTTCATAGCACTCGATACTCAAGCATCATAATCCGTATTTTAGTCCAGGAGAAAAAGTGAGTGATCTGCCTGGGTCTAATGCTGAACTGGGGATGGAACTCAAACATCACCAGCTTGTATGTTAAACCACAAAACCATGCTTTCATTTAGGAGTTGTTCTTTTGTTACCAGTTTTTATTTGAGCAAATTATTATTATAATAAATAATTATGGACTTTTTTTCCAGCCCCTGCAGCAACATTTGAGATACAAGTGGAGGTACATCCCAGGACTATTTGGTAAAATATTTAGCACAGCACACCAATTAACTTACTATGCCTCTGACATTTATCTAACCACTTCAGGTAGGTTACTTCAATAATTATTTGCTAGGGTCAACGTACGAATAGCTTCATATTGGCAACAGCTTCCTTGTTAAACTCCATTTATAGTCAGGGCATTCTGCAGGACACATCCAGCCTCTGGGTTAGAGCTACGCTTTCTGACCCTTCACAACTTTTTGAGAAGGGAAGTCTGGCTTGGCCTACTGAATCTTGCCATAATATGGGTCACTGATGTCAATCTCATCTTTGTCCATCTAAATCACAAGAGATCTTTTCAAGAGCAGAAGGAGCACAACATAAAATGATACTCAGTCAAGGTTTAATTTAATATGAATTTTACAACTGTCTGCCGTACAGAAACTTTAAAAAAATCCTGAAGTATTTGCAAATCAATTAAAAAAAAGTTTGTTCTGGAAATTTACACCTCTCAAACTACAAGGAAAAAAGATTTCCGTATTATTGTACTGTAAACTTACTGTGATCTGTGGGAATGCTGAGAGATTTAATTTACATACTAATGCTGCAAGCAGGTTGGAGGGTGTGGGGGAGAAGAGTTACTTAGCACCAGTAGTGAGCAGCAAGGAAAAGAAGGCAGCTATAGTCCCCATGGACTGTTTTGTTTTCAATAATTTTAGACTGTCTAATAACACCTTTTAATAAGCTACTCTCAGCTATAAAGCTGCAATCAGCCTTTGTCAGAGAACATAATACTGCCCCAGATAGGAAAACAGTTCTGATATAATGGACAGAAGACCCCATCTAAATAAAAGCTTCTTAAAAAAAAAAAGGTAGAAAAAAGTTCCATCAGTGAAAAACATAAATTATGTGGTCTATACACTGTGGTCTATACCTCTCATTTCTAAAACACTAGATTTCAAAAAGATATCTACTAAAGCTAAATACATTCTAAACCCCACATTTTCTGTTTACTCCAGTCCTGGTTTACAATTAGATGAACTTGCTTATTTATAGAGTATTTATGCCCTATAAGTGCAATCTAAATTATCACAGAATCATAGAATACCGGGTTGGAAGGGACCTCAAGGACCATCTCGTCCAACCTTTCTTGGCAACGGCACAGTCTAGACAAGGTGGCCCAGCACCCCATCCAGCCGAATCTTAAAAGTGCCCAATGTTAGGAAATCCACCACTTCCCTGGGGAGATTATTCCAATGGCTGATTGTTCTCCTTGTGAAAAAATTTCCTCTCTTATTCAGTTGGAATCTCCCCAGGAGTAACTTGTACCCATTACCCCTCGTCTTTTCCATGTGGCTCCTTATAAAAAGGGAGTCTCCATCTTCTTTGCAGCTGCCCTTTAAATACTGGAAGATGGTGAGGAGGTCTCCCCTAAGACTTCTTTTCTCAAGGCTGAACAAATCCAGTTCTCTCAGCCTTTCTTTGTACGGCAGGCTTCCCAGTCTGCTGATCATGTTAATTTTCTGTTTAGTCTATGCTACCCACTTAGTCTCAAAGTGACTACTATGTGACACTGAGATTAGATAGCCTGCTGCAATGTTAAATTTAAGACTATTTCCACTCCACTCACTCAATTTAACGGCAGTTCTCACTGAAGCTCAAGTCTAGCTATAAAAGCCTAATATATATATGATAGGTAAAACACAGATGTTTGACTCCATTTAACACAGGATTCCTCAAAACAGTGGGTCACCTTTGCTGCTGATAAATGTAGGTCCAACTCCACCATTACCAAAAACATTCATGCCACTGTGAAATGGAACTGAATCTACCCAACATTTGGGTTTAAAAGTTGGTTTATAAACCATTACTAATTCTAAAAGAATTCAGTATCAGCCTTTCAGTACATGTATTTCCTAATTTTTATAATTCAAAGCACTAACAAGATGGAAATAAGATAACTTTTTTCCCTAGGAATTCTTCTGATCTTTCAGTATTATGACCATCCTTTTCTTTCCAGCAACAGACTTACTGTGATGGCAGTGATCACACTTTACAGATCAGTTCAGAAACATGCCTGAAACTTAAATAAGACACATTGTCAAAAAAATAATCACTAAAATCAGCACAAAATCTGTTTGTGAAGATACACCTATCACCTTAGCAATATAAGTAGAGATCTCTATTTAACCTCTTTTTACCATAATTTGCTGGAGAGTTACCATAAATTACTGTGACATTTTGTTATTGTACTTTGTTCTCATTTAAGGAAAAATAAATTTATCACTTAGAAAAAACAGATAATTGGTGGAGTTTAAGCAGCAAAATGGTAGCTTTCTTCTCTTGATAAATTTCTGCCCCCCTTATGGGAAGGGGAACTGACTGTATCTGTGACTGGCAAGTCACACTTTCTCTGAGGGGTGCCAGATAATATCACGTCAACACACTCACAGCTAAATGCTCCTTTTGCCAATGAGATTTCATAACGCTTCCTCCACTTCTGAAGCTCTCCAAAGAAAGGAAGTGCTAACTCCCTGTTAAAACATATAGTCCAAAGGATCCAAAACTGTCTAATGTTTGAACTCTTTTTGCACAGAAAGGGAAATTACTTTTTTGCAGAATTTTTTTCATGGTTTTTTTTTTACAAATAGAAGCTGTATACTTTTCTCTAGCTAGTGGTAAAATAAGAAGGGGAACAGGTATGAAATTCAATTAAGAATTGCCCTCCCCCCGCCCCCAATATCATTAGATCAGTGCCTGAATATACACTAAGGGTAGAGCAGACCTGAAGCACACATTTCTCAAGCTAAAAAAAATTGTCAGTGAAATACAGGCTTCCGATCAGCTCAGAGAAAATGCTAACAAGTCCTGAATTAAATGGTGAAGCAGCCGGTACTTTAAGAACAAGATCCCTAATACTGATTTTACAAAAACTAGTTTATCAGGAAGTTAAACACATCTAGAGTCCCGAGTAGTTTCTCCCCACTCAGAGCTCAAAACTCAACAATATGAGATTTTAAATCCTCCTGCACCCTGAGATTGTTCAGGATTCTAACCTTCCTGTGGAGGCACAGACCCTTCCCCTCTCCACAGCACCACCATCTGATAAATACAGTGAGCAACACTTGTACCGATCACGTCATGAGAGCTCCCCCCACCACCACTTTTTAAACTCTTTTCTACTTGCAGGCTATTTCATGCTATCTCAGAAATACTGGGAAATAACGGTAGCATGTAGTTATTCACCCAGAACTAAAGAAAGAGGTCACAGAAGGGGCTTCTCATTGCCATTTTGTAGCCATTCCCTCTCATTTCAATATACAAGGTTAAATTACTCCAGAAGCCTCTCTACAGGGCTCCCATTGTTTGTCAGTCCAGGCTGGGACACAATGGCACTCATTCATGCGCACAGCAAACAAGCAGTTAACAGCCAATGATCAGCATACAGTCTCATTTTGGTTCTTCTGCAAACAGTTTGTAGAAAGATGGCATTTCAAATAAACTATGTCAATTTTTCAAAGCTTCAATGCATTCCCAGTACAAACTACTTAGTAGGGAGTCCAGACAAAAATTAAGACAACTTGAGAGCAACGTGAAGAAGCACCCAAAAAACCACTCACTCATTAGGACTGCTCCTGAAAAAGACCTGCTTGCTACAACCACATGCAAAAAGCTTACGTTTTAATAGTTAGGTGAATGCACATTCAGAAAAGTTCAAAATAGCTGATTCTTTCCAAAGACAGTCATGCCATGCTTCTGTTTTCAGAGTACCACTTAGTGTTCAGCCTCAGAGCTTATATTACTAAGGGATACAGACACCAAGGTTCCAAAGTGCACTTAAGGCTGTTTACTTCATATCTTCTGGTTAAGAACCCAAGAGGTTTATGGTTTGGGTATTTATGGTTTTGTTTTGCTTTTCTTTTTTTCAACATGTTAAAAATAGAAAAACCAAATGCAATATGACAGAAGTCCAATGCTGCTGATAACTGGAGAGACACAAGCCTCACGCACCTCTTCATTGTTTTGCCTTTTCTACTTCAAAACTTGCTAGAGCAAAGACTTTGTCTCCTGATCCTATAAGAAGAAAAAAAACCTGCAGTAAGTATTAGTAGAAATTGTGAATTTCCTTATATACAATTTAAATCAAGCAAAACATGTGAGATCAAAAGAAATCAAACCTACGTTTTGAAAACTAGAACACTTGAGCTAATTTAAAATATAAATAAAAAAAAAAAAAAAAGGCATACTGACTTGACAGGTCTGAAACCAGCCATGTTGTATCGGGTCTGGCTGGGATGGAGTTAACTTTCCCCATAGCAGCTCTCATAGTGCTGTGCTTTGTATTTGTAGCTAGAATGGTGTTGATAACACACCAATGTTTTGGGTACTGCTGAGCAGCGCTGGCACAGCATCCAGGTGGTCTCATTCCCGAAGGCCAGTAGGCTTGGGGTGGGCAAGAGCTTGGGAGGGTACGTAGCCAGGACAGCTGACCCCAACTGACCAGAGGGATAGTCCATGCCATATGAACCATGCTTGGCAATGAAAGCTAGGAAAAAGGAGGAGGTGGGGGATTTGTTATTAAGGCATTTGTCTTCCAAAGGAACTGCTACACGTACTCAGGCCCGACTTCCCAGAAAGTGGCTGGACATCGCCTGCTGATGGGAAGCAGAGTATAAATCTTTCTGTTTTCCTTTGCTTCTGTGCACAGCCTTTGCTTTTCTTTATTAAACTGCCTTTATCTGGACCCACAAGTTTTTAACTTTATTTTCTCCCCATCCTGCTGAGAAGGAAGAAAGAGAGCAGCTTGGTGGGCACCTGGTGGCCAGCCAAGGTCAACCTACCACACACAGAAAGCTTCTCACAAAGTACCCTTTCAACAAAAGGTTCTCACCTTGCTGCCACTCTCAGTAAGAGGAGTACTGAAAGGTAGGTCACAGACACAGTTTATCTGTACCCTGACCTAGTCTGGCACATTCCTGCCATTCATAGTTCTTTCATCACAGTTCTAACTGTAATGCTAGAATGAACCGTTGTGCTTATTTAATGCATATTATAACTGAACTTTTGGTCTTGTCAGCATGATTAGTTATGACAGTCATGGCAAGAAGAGTGCTGTAAAGCTGCATTTTGACAATGTGCCAATAATTGTCAAATTCTCTGCATCAAGCAGAGGAAAAGGCTCTCCTGAAGAGAGTCATTAATGCAAAAAAGATTTGTGTTTAATGATAAGAGTGGTATCTCTGCTTGAGACAGACCATTCAAGCCTTCAGCATTATAGGCTACACTTGGCATTTTATGGATATCTGGCACCGGATTTATTTGCTGTGTTACTTTTTCATCACAGTGTATCAGAGTTTCAGTGTTAACAAAACAGAAAACTGTACATCAAAATTTAATTAACTGAATCTTTTGTTTGTATCTTCTCTTTTATAGGGGAATCAGGGGTATTTCTATTAATCAGTGTTCAATGAGGCAAAGAAATGGGAAGTCACGAGAATGAAAACTTACCAAGGTCGGTGGAGACTCTCTCAAACTGGCTCAGGGCTGTACCAGCATTTGCTGACAAGAACATCTCATCATCTGGAGTGAGCTAAATCAAAAAAGGCCACAACTGTGAACTTGGTACCTTAACTGTGCATATTCCTACCATTGTAACTCCCACGATCTACACAGGCATATACATGAACTGTGACAGGTTACAGGCATTGTCAATGTGCAGTTTTTAGGTGGCGGTGTTACCTAACATATTAAAAGCCAAAGTAAAAATGCAAGCTGCTCCTCTGGCATATGGGACATCAGACATGCCTATGTGCACCACTAAGTCTCAAGTTGACCTCCAGTGATAGTTTCTGATGAAAAGATTACACCGTACACCTCTGTCCCAAAATTATGCAAAGGATGTCAAGTACTTTTTTTGTGATGTGGTCAATAAAGTAATGAGGTAAGATCTAAGCTCGCCTCATATCATCTATTGAGGAAAGCGAAAATATGTAGTTACTACCAGCTTTGACCACATTAAGAGTCCATGACCTAGAAATTGTTCTCTTCCTTTAAAGTGACATTTGCACATGTGTATTTTGCTCATATGTATCTGTTCTGATGCCTTGTGAGAGATGCCCATAAAATATTTACAGTAATGAAGTACTAACCTACATTTGGAAGGCTCAGATATTCTAAGTTAAAACTCACTCTTTGAAGTAGCCTCAGATCCTTATTAAAGGAAAGCATAAGTGTGTCACTATCCACAGTGTTTGTGTCAGTTTATTTATTAAAAATACAAAAATCAGGTACCGACATTCAGAATTATGTTGGAATGAGGGAAAAAGTATTAGCTACCCACCTTCGCAAGCAAGCATCTAACTTCTTAATATTTTGCAGTGCAGACAAACATGTAACATTTGCCACCATTTTTCATGTTTGGAACAGATGTGAAACTACTATCTTAGCAAGTCCTCCGTGAAGTAGGTTACTGAACATTTTAAAAGATAAAGAGGCTATGTCAAAGGGTGGTAAAGTGGCTTGTCTGAAATGATCCAAGGAACTCATGCCAGGAGGATTAGATATCTTCATGCATTCAGTTCACATCCATAACTAGCCTTTTAACCTATTTCCAAAACATTTTTTTCTCTGTCAGTCAAGCAATAACAATATTCTGAGGAAAAGCATTTGCTAATATCATCTACTTGGAATGCAGCTCCTTTAAGTACTGCACTTGATCTTTTCCTAAGAAAGTTTAAGTACAGAGATACACAGCAACCCATCTTCTTCATCTACCATCAACAAACAGAAATAAAAACTTCTCTTCCTCCCTCTAGTGGTAAAAACCAGGGATTGTTCTGCCACTGATGTACTCATTGGGGAAACAAGCAGTTTACCACTCATCTCTCCAATGTATTTATCTTACACCAAGAGGTAGGTATTATCACCAATACAGAAGTAAAGCTCAATGTATGTCCAAAGTCTTGGCTAGTTCCTGTCAAGTGGAGAGATGGTAGTTGGCCAGTAAAAGACTTGTTTTGTAGCTTTTATAAATATCAACTTGTACCAGCTTGTATGTGATGCATTCATATGACCCACCAAAGAAAGCATTTTGAAGTAGAAAACAGCTTTATATAAATGTACAATACTATTGATATACAGAAAGCTTAGCATTAAAATAGAAGATATTTATGTACTACAAAAGCAAGCTGCATTCTATAATTTGCTCATAAACAAAATTTGTCATTTCTTATTTTAATGATTTCAAATTCCTCTTCAATAGATAAATAGAAATTTCTAGATTTCTAGTCATCTAACTATCACACCAACACCTTACCTCCTCACCAAGCTTTCTGAGGGCAGTCAGGATTTCCACTTTCTGCTGCGTGTATAGGTCTCGTCCCAACTTCCCAACCATTAAGTCTCGGTCCATCTGTACACCGGGGGGGGGGGCGGGGAATAAATCAAAATATATAAGCTTCCCATTAGTTTCACTCAACACAACAGCATGAGCAATGCAATAGCCTAAAAATAGCATCAGTAAGCATGGTACCGATGAAAGTAAGGGACAGAGCTACCCATAATTTAATAGATGGCCATGAAGTTTTTCTGACCATACTGCAAATACTCTTTGCACTCAACCTTAGCATTCTTGATTTCTCCAAACTTGAATCTGTTTTAATGCTATTCATTCATAATTATGGACTCACAAATCTCTGATACATGGAAGAATCACATTTCATTTCACTTTATCTGGATTTCAAGCTCAGTCTAGATCTCTGAACCCTTGAGTACACTCTCCAGCCCCTCAATACAATTACAGATTCATACTCTTCGGATTTTCTATTTGCAGTTACACTCAGTTTACTATCTGTTTACCACATTTTTGTTTTGAAACAGCAAGATAGAAGATAATTCAAGAAATACACACTGTTGTCCTCATTACCTCAATGAAGGTTTAAAACCTAACAAATTCTGAAAGAGAACTTTTCTATCTCTTTATGATGCTGCCACCAAGGTTTCTAACCCATTTGGTGCTCTCCTTGCAATCATTGCATATTTACATCAGTCTAGCACAAACAAACGTTTTTTTACAGTAAAACAGAAACCTTCACCTCTGCCAATCTTGTCCTCAATTGTCTTGGTTGTTTCTTTGCAAACATTCGAATTACTTCTGGAGTTTTAAACGCTTGGCTGATGGCTGCTTGTATTGCCTACAAGGAAAAGAACAAGAATGACCAGACCTAATAGCAGTCACAAGCTATAGCTGCATGACAAGATTAATGAAGGCCAGAAACCATCATTAGTATCCTCTGAATCATTTGATAAAGAGATTTTTTTTTTTTTTTTTTTGCATAACCATGGAAGTGAGATGAAAAAATATATGACTTTCATACAGGGCTTGAAAAATCCACTGATTAGCGCAACCACACTGAGAAACAGCTGTGAAACTTTTCATTACAGTCCAGGTCTTAATTTCTAATAGTTTCCAATATCTTCCTGACACTAGCACATCACAAATGGATGTGCTATGCTACCTTTAGCAGTTTTAATGCCCACACTGATGATTATAGCTCTTCTAAGGGTAAGCAGAATGTAAATGATGAGGTAAATCTCCTACTGTTACTCAAAATTGTCTACGGATTATCAAAACTGTTATGATTAAATCTCACCATAGTTATGCTTGGACAAATCATGATCTCTCTGGAAACAAAACTCTAAAACATACGGCTCAGAAGGAATGATACTCTAACCAAACATTTGAAAAGAGAGAAAACAGATCAAAAGTTCGGAAGTCAGCATAATAAAAGATCGATTCACTGAAAGAACTTAAAGTTACACAGTCGCTCCTACAGCCTATTCATTTGGGATGGTGTGAATCTTTGAAATACAAGTCAGCAATAGAGCACAGGAAATGCTATCTTTATGCTTTCTAACAAACAGGCATGAACTTTACTTCTCACAATATACATTGCCCTTGATTGTCCCTCACACTTCTTATATTAATTTGTATTATTTTATGTTATTTTCTAATATTAAGGATCTGAAACATTTAGTCCTTGCAATTTCCCACAGCTTTTTGTACAGTGTTATGGTTATAATTCTTCAATATTTTTTTTCGTTTTAAAATGAAGAGATCTAACCAAGTTTTTATATGTACATATATATTAAATAATAAAAGCACTAGATACATAGATCTAGCTTTCACACCTGTCTAAAAATTATAATGAATCACTCGCATCTATTTTCTGTTTCATTGAGTTCAGGCAGAACGTGAACTATTTTTAGTAACACATCATCCTTACCAGTTGCATTCCGCTGAGCTCGTCCACCAAAGTCATATCGCCAGACATAATCTTCTTCAGTGAGTCATTGATCTCACTCAGCTGTTCTAGAGTTTCTTTTTTGGTCTCTTCATACTCATCTGCATCTAGCTCCTCTCTAAAGAGGATCCAACAAGACAAATTAATTCATAGGACTAAACTCAAGATGTAACGTGGAGAAAAGGACATCAGGGAATATCATGAAGCACACTTCCTCAGATAGCAACGAAAACGTTCACGTCACTTTAGATTATTCTGCTCTAGCCCTCTGTTATTTACCTAAAGCATACGTATTCTTCTTGGGTTTGCACCACCTCCTAGCCACCCATGGACTTCTGCTATTTGTACAAAGTCACTTGTATTAAAAAGGCCCTGACAACTACGTGATACTCAACATTTGGTGCAGTACTTAAAAGTGTATTTTGGATCTCAACAAAAATATGTAATGAGATTATCTTGCTCAAAGCTATGGTGAATCAAATTATCTGAAAAGCCCATCTCCTCACTCCAAAACCGTCATTATCCAGGAATAACTGACCCTGCTATTTAAACCTGGCCCAATTCAAAGAAGGGAACTACCAACCCTTAGCAGTTATAATTGTTCTTGAAAAAAATATGTACTGCTCAGACAAGTTAGAATTATAATCAGAGAAAGCATCTAAAACCACACAGGATGTTTAAGTACTGAAACAGAAAAAAACCCTTTTCCTTTGTAATGCAGTCTATCTCAAATTTTATTAGCCCACAAAATCTAACACAAAATCACATGAAACAAATCACATGAAAATGTCAGACAAATTAAAAAAAACCAACAACCCCAAACACCCATCATTATAAGACAAAACAAAACAGACACAAAAGCGAATAACTGCTATTAAAAAAGCCCATGTGAAAATTGTGAATTCTGTAAACAGCTATTCAAAGTTAAAAAGTCACACTGAAATATAAAATTTCAAAGAAAACAGTAATAAGTATTTCTGCCCACATTTTCCTCAAGAAGATGGTAAAGAGAATGATCTTAACAGAAAGAAAGGTTTTTTAAAATTGTATTTACTACCTAACACAAACACCCTACCTAATTAAAAAAAAATAAAGCCACAGCAAAACACAAAGCCCACAAGATTTTTGAAAGGTACCCTTTTCTTCTGCCAACCACTTAAGAAAATATTACCATATAAGAGGAAAGCATCTATTTTTATTACCTGCATTCCTCCAGATCTTGAAGCTGCTGCATTAATCTATCCAACTGCTCTTCCAAGTTTTGTTTTAGTTTACTGGTCTCTGTTGTTCCTCTTGAAGCCATTTTCTGTTTTCACATGAAAATTTTAAGTTGTTACATTACACTCCTAGGAGAAAGGACATTTTATTGTTGCGTATCAACAACTTGAAACTTATTTTTAAACACTCCAAGTATCAGTAAGATTATGCAATATCTTGATGATGGAATGTTGAATCAAAACATTTGGAGATCCTTATAGTGGAAATACGGAAACGCTAGGCTGGGTCTACAGGATTGTTCTCACTGTAGCAAGAGACGGTTCACCAAGGTAATAACTCAAACAGCCACAGCACATAAAACCAAACAAATTTGAAACCAAACAGCAATTACCGGAATATTGAGGTCTCGGTATATGAAACAAGAGCTTCTACCCTTCAACTGCCCCTTAGGAAACTATTTAAGGGATAACAACCCGGATGCAGGTATCTGAAGCATACAAACACCTTCGACAGAACCATTAGCTGTCACAAACTAGAGCACTCTAGAGGAAATTCGTGCTTCTTTGGGTACCAAAGAGGAGCAGGCAGCCAGCCGACGGCAGCGATCAAGGGGATGGATGTCCCAGGGTCACGCACCGGCTCGCCAGCCGCTGACCAGCAAGTTCTGAGGTTTGCACTAACGCCAACGGCTCCGGCAGGCAGCGAAGGAAGCGCGATCCTCCCCGCCGGAACGGTGCGAGAGAGGAGAGCGAACAGGAGGCCCGGGGGGAGGAGAACCGAGGAGGAATTGGGGCAGTGCCTGAGCCCTGCTGCCTATGCCCGAGGCCAGGGCTCCAGCCCGGCTCTTCCTCCTTCGCGCCCGCAGGTCGCGGCGGTCAGTCCGCCCGGCCCCCCTCCT